CACGAAGGCCCGCTGTGACGACTTTGCCAAGCATTTCAGGGAGAAAATCGCTCAGATTCACCACGAGCTTGACTCTGCTATTGAATCAGATTCTACTGGGGAGACGCCATCAAGTCCACAATTAATGGATGAATTTCAGTTGTTGCGGCCTGATGATGTGGACAAGGTGCTTGGACAAGTACATCCTACCACTTGCTTATTAGACCCATGCCCATCTTGGCTACTTAAGAAAGCCAAGGATGGGATTGGGACCTGGATCCTGGAGGTGGTCAACGCCTCTTTAAGAGACGGCCAGGTACCTGCCCCTTTAAAGGAGGCAGTAGTCCGGCCAGCCCTAAAGAAGGCATCCCTGGATCCAGAGGTGGCTGCCAATTATAGACCGGTGCCCAACATCCCGTTCCTGGGCAAGGTGCTAGAGTGGGTGGTGGCGGGACAACTCCAAGCACTCTTGGATGAAACTGATTATCTGGACCCATTTCAGTCCGGCTTCAGACCCGGGTATGGCACTGAATCTGCCTTGGTCGCCCTGTATGATGACCTGTGCAAGGAGAGAGACGGGGGAGTGTGTCCCTGTCAGTTCTCCTGGACCTCTCAACGGCTTTCAATACCATCGACCATGGTATCCTTCTGAATAGGCTAGCGGGATTGGGAGTTGGAGGCACCACGTGGCGGTGGTTCCACTCCTATCCAAATGGCCGATTTCAGAAGGTGGTGCTGGGGGACTATGGCTCTGCACCATGGCAGTTATGCCATGGAGTTCTGCAGGGGTCCATTTTGTCCCCCTTGCTATTCAACATCTACATGAAACCGCTGGGAGAGGTCATCAGGAGGTGTGGGCTGCAGAATCATCAGTAAGCTGATGATACCCAGCTCTACCTCTCGTTTTCCACCAATCCAGATGAGGCAGTGGCTGTGCTAAACCGGTGCCTGGCCGAGGTAATGGGCTGGATGAGGGCCAATAAACTGAAGCTCATTCCAGACAAGACGGAGGCCCTGTTGGTGGGTGGCTCGGGCCTCGGGATGGGGGACTTGGGCCTTGTCCTAAATGGGGTTGCACTCCCTCTGAGGGACAGGGTTCGCAGCTTAGGAGTGCTCCTCGACCCTGAGCTGTCTCTAGAAGCTCAGGTGACGGCAGTGGCGAGGAGCGCCTTCCTTCAGCTTCGGCTGATCCATCAGCTGTGTCCCTTCCTGGAGAACGACTGCCTGGCGACAATGACACACGTGTTGGTAGCTTCCCGATTAGATTTCTGTAACGCGCTCTACGTGGGGCTACCCTTGAAGACGGTCCAGATACTTCAGTTGGTTCAAAATAGAGCTGCCAGGTTGCTGACAGGGACTGGGCGTTGTTCTCATATAACCCCAGTTCTCCGTCAGCTCCACTGGCTCCCAGTTGAAGTCTGGGCCCAATTCAAGGTGTTGGTTATGACCTATAAAGCCCTAAACGGCTTGGGACCTGGATATCTAAAGGAACACTTGCGCCCATATATGCCCTCCCGCCCCTTGAGATCAGCAACGGATGCTCTTCTCCGGGAACCCTCTGTGAATATTAGGAGAGTGAGTACCCGGAGGAGGGTTTTCTCTGCGGTGGCGCCCCATCTATGGAATGCGCTCCCCAGAGAGGTCCGCCTGGCGCCATCGTTATTTGTTTTTCGGCACCAGGCTAAGACCTTTTTATTTAAAACGTATTTTAATTGCTAAATTATTGTATTAATTACGATTTTAAAATTTTTAGCCAAGAATGCACTGGGGGTTTTTAATTTTTTTTTTCAATTGTTATATTATTACTATTTTTGTATGTTTTATGTATTCTTTGTGAGCCGCCCCGAGGCTTTGTAGCGATGGGGGCGGCATAGAAATGAAAGAGAGAGAGAGAGAGAGAGAGGGAGGGGGGGGGGCAGTGGGAAAGGCCCCAGTGTTCCACTCTTTTCCTTATAGAGGTTAAGGGAGACAGTGTTTTCCAGTGAACTCAAAGGATGCTGTAATTTTAAATAAATGTGAACTTCTTGAGTAATTTTAATCTCATTTAAAAGTGATGGGCAAAAATTATTTCTGTAGTGGTAGAGTGTGGAACAGTTTTAAACATAATTAATCTAAGTCACTTCCAATTCAAACACAAAGAAGTAAATGGTTCTATAGAAGAGTGCCACAGAAATCAGATCAGGCCAGTATGATGCCTTCATTTTTCTTTGAATGCAATGCTTTCCAATTATGCCATGGGCCCCTTTATGTAATATTCAATTTAGAATATGCATGCTAATGCTGTCTATTTTCTTTTAGATGCCAACTGAAAACATTTTTATTCTGTTAACTATTTTGGTGAGTCCATTGGTTTGATAATGGTTTTTCTTGTTGCTCTGGTGCTGAGAGTTTTAATTGTCAGACTATTTATTTATTTATGGAACAATTTTTTAAAAATGTTTTATTATTGTTTTAATTGATTATCTGTTGACTGTTTTGTTATCTTATTGTTTAAATGAATTGTTTTAATTTGCTGTTTGATTGTCATACTATCTAAGCCACCCAGACACCCTTTTAGCTAAGAGGTGTGGCATGTAATTGCAATACATACATACATACATTTAATAGAAGTGCCAGACACAGACTACTTTTTAGCCCCAGATTTTTTTCACCTCATGGCCTAAGGTGAAATCAAGCTCTTGATTTTCTTCTAAACATTTTAAGATATAATACTTCCTACACCTAACCTGTCAATTAGAGGACAACTTGTAATAATCATGAAATTTTCAGATTGCATAACATAATGGCAGACTGCATTCAAAAATGGGCAGGAAAACCTTCCCTCTCCCATTTCCACTCCACAACTCCTTAGTGTATGCTGCAAATGTAAACACAGCATATCTTGGAAATTCAACAAAAGTTATGCCCACACTTTGTACGCCACATGAATAACCTGAAGGCAAATTAAATATGAATCTTTCATACTCCTACTGCAAAAGCCAAATCTATCAGTTTGACAGCTGCAGAAGTTTGTAAAAACCAGTGTTCAAAATAACAACAACAACAACAATAGTAATAGTAATAATTACCCCATGATGAACATAATTCTCCCCAAAAAACTGTTTCATGATGTGTTTGCAAAAGTGCACTATATTCTGAAGATGATGAAATATTTCTTCTGGAGTCTGAAAAAGAAATTATAAATTGTTGGGGGAAAATTGTTATACTGCACTAACAGATAACAGCAAAACTCTAGTAAAAGGTTACCTTAAATTTGCAAGTCCACAACTCCTACTATAAATTTCCAAATGTATATATTCATACAATACTGCTTCTATCAACAAACATGTGGACAAAATGCTTAACTACCACCTATATATTCGGTGAAACTTCCCCACCAAAGGTTTCCTTCAAAATCCTGCTAGCCATCATGTATCTTTATGATAAACTTATTTGGAATCAAGTAAAATATTTATATCCACAGATACTGCAGCTGTAGTTTAGCTAAAGGTAAAGGTTTCCCCTTGACGTTAAGTCCAGTCATGCCTGACTCTAGGGGGCAGTGCTCATCTCTGTTTCCTAGCCGAGGGAGCCATCGTTTGTCCACAGACAGTCTCCGTGGTCATGTGACTGGCAAGACTAAACACCAAAGTGCACGGAACGCTGTTACCTGCCCACCGAAGTGGTACCTTTTTATCTACTTGCATTTGCATGTTTTTGAACTGCAAGGTTGGCAGGAGCTGGGACGGAGCAACGGGAACTCACCCCGTTGTGCAGATTTGAACCGGCAACCTTTCAATCAACCAGCCCAGCAGCACAGTGGTTTAAACCACTGCACCACCTGCAGTCCCTGTAGTTTAGCTACTGACCAGTATATGGAGGGCATCTTTCAGAAGTTTTCACATGTGACAGGCAATCACTACAAATTTCAGATGGGTAGTAACGTTCCAACATGAAGAAAGATATAATTGAAAGGAAATAAAGACATAAGGAAAGGGAACAAGGAGGGCAGGACATACAGATTAAACAACTGATACTAGGAACTAGGCAACTAGGGACTGGTAAGTAAGCACAGGTGCAAGGATCCAGCCCCAGTTCCAAAATTTCCATCCAACATATAATGGGGTGGATAATCCATTCTATCAGTCTGGCTGACAATATGTACATCATATCTTTATGCTCTTAAACTCCCCGACCCATGCACTTAGGAATGCACTACTCCCTCTAAGCAACCAAGGATATTATATTTCATCTGCTCTGCCTTGTAGCTATTAGACCCTTTTTCTAGATAGTATCCTCAGGCTTTGCTTTGGATAGTATCCTTATCAGACAAGGACACATACACGAGAAACATGGACTGCAGAAAGAAAAAAAAAACCCAAAAATATTTCTGGTATGGTGGTGAGATCAGGACAAGGCAAGGGAATTATACAATATGAGAAAGAACAGGAATGAAACAATTCAGCAAAGGGTAGATGGGTGTTTCCCTAAAGTAAATGTCCTCTTTAGATGCAATAAGAAGTTTTACTGGTTAAAGAAACAGTAGATGCATCATTGTTCAGCAAATATATGAAAGAGCAATGAGCCACCTGATTTAAATCAATCATTTAAATAAACTTTTAAGCAGACATTTTAAACTCCCCTGTTCTGAAAATCTTTTAACAAATAGTGTGCTGGTTTGCTTTTATGTTTTTCCCAGTTCATTTTTGGTGTTTTGATAGCTAGTCAATTTTATTATTGCTTTACCATTTATTTGCAAACTGCATTGGAAACAGTTTATTAAGTAATATATTTAACAGGTATGATGAAAATAATTAAAACATGGTCCAGATGACATTTTAAATTCACAAAATTCTGGAGATTCCAACCAAAAAAAAGTCATTAACATCTTACCTTGCACATAAGCTAAAAAACTAAGTGTTTTATTTGACAAGAACCAGAAAGAGTTGGCAATTCCTGAACGCCCTTTTTTAAACTATATTGTGAAAATAAATTATATACTGGCTTTTACCAGATAATTTAATGTATGTTGTTGCTTAGTTTCCTCAGTTATGTATTAACATTCTGGTTAATTGTTTCAGTGCAACTTCTATACTTTTAACATGTTCTGTGTCCTTGCTAATAGTTTTTCTAAAACTAATCCACATCCTAAATTGAAGATAAATGGAGGGCTTGTTCACATCATACTGTGAGATCCAGAATATATGTATAAATAACTTCTGATCACCATTTGTAAAATAACCTTATTACAAAATAAATATTGCTACTATCTAAAACTCATTGAATGCAGTACTGTGAACATTAATTCTAACTCCCATGAACAAAACACATGGAAACTCAGTCTTTCTAACCTAATCCATTCACAAATAAAGAGAAACATTAATGTGTATGGAAGGAGGGAGAACATGTACATAAAGAGAAAATGAAATCTCAACTGTTTAACTTCTTGAATCCACTTGTGGTAAATATGAAGTGGGGGAACACTGCCTGTTTTTCCCCACATAAGGCCTAAAATGCATGTGTCTCCCTATTATATTCTCATATAAACTATGCTGCAAATATTCTACTAAGCATTCAAGCAATATTCCTGCCTAAAAGTCAGTGCTGTCAGGGTCCACAGCCAGGAAGTGGGCAGCCAAAGACAGGACAAGAGCAACAGAAGCACCAGGGCTACAGAACTTCATGAGACAGAGAGAGCATCCAAAAGCAGAGTTGAATGGAAAGTCCAAATCATAGCCGTGGCACAGGCCAAGGTCAGGAACCATGAGGACAGAACAAAGGTGTGGACAAGAACAAGCCAAGATCAAGAACCAGAAGACAAACAGAGGTGCAGGTATCTTGGACAGGATAACTGGATGGGAGACATGGCACAGCAGGATACATGACACGGAAGGATACACAGCAAGGCAAGGCAATAAGAAACAACACAAACCAGATCCAGAAAACGTCAGGTAAGACGCAAGAGCTGAACCACAGCTTGTAGAGAGACTGTGTTACTGAGGCAACATCACTAGGCAGGATATAAAGGTGAGGCAGAATATAGGTCAGGCAAGCTTCAGGCACAGCAGCAAAAAGGAGTACCTGTGCTGTTCAGGTAACATGGCAAGGCAGGAGACACAGCAAGAAACAGAAGCAGGAAAGGTCAGGCAGAATGTAGACACAGCAGCAAACTGGAGGACGTATGCTGCTGAGACAACATGGCAAGGCAGAAGACCTGGCAAGAACCAGGAGTGGACACTACAGAAAACAGGAGAACCTGCATTGCTGAGAACAGTTCTGGTTGGAAGAGGTTGTTCTTATACAGCTCTTTGCTCAGGATTCCCAACTGGTGCTCATCATTAGAATGAAAGCTCCAGCAGGGACTAATCCTGCAAATAAAGTGGTAGTTGTTCTGGTACTGACCACCACAGCAGCCTAGATCCTGACAACTGGTTCAATATTCATGCAAAGAGTCTAGTGCTGAACTGAACAACAAAAGAAACCCCAAACTGCCACATTAATTTTACTTGCATTAGAACTGGGACATCGATCAGGCCCAAGCACCATACCATGGATGTCATGGGTTATTAGCCTGTGTCAAGTTGCAATGCAGGCAAGCACCTGTTTCATATCCAACCCTCATTAGGAGGCTATTATGTCATGCAAACACAGGAAGCATGGCTTACATCAGAGTTAAATATGATATATTTAAGATAAGTAGAACAGAACAAACAATGGTTTATGCATAATCCATGCTTGTCAGATTTTCACAAGGAAACCCCCAAGTGGGAAGGAGGAAATGGCCTGCATAAACAGACCAATAATAATGAAACTGAAGCAAAGTATTCAAACTGAAACACTGTTTTGACTTCAATTCATCTTCCACAAATTACGGGTCATACAACTGAAATACCATTGTGCAAGAAAAATAGCAGAGTTACATCACTTGCAATGTTCTAAGCAAGAGAAAGATATGTACTGAGGCTGAAATAATAACAGAATCTTGCCTAAGGGCACACAGTAAATTCATAGCAACGGACATGAGACTACTATGCAAAATTACAAGCATTCCATACAGATAACAATGCAGTCTGCTCAACAATTTAGTTTGATATTTAAGGAAGAGAAGTCCTCTCTAAACATCAGACATTATCATTCATTCAAAGGGCACTATGTGGCATATACTCTCACCTCTTTCATATTCAAAATGTCCCTAGTCCATTTGTTTGTACAGCTATCTTTTGCTATATGCTCGTAAGCAACTTAGAGTTTAATAGTACTAAATATTTTTCACATATATTACAGGATCTGTTAACGTAATAATCCGAATAGCTAATAGTTAAAATTCAAGACTGGATATTAGTGCCATTACTAACAAATTAGCACTGTCTACCAACAATACTCAAAAAGTATTAATAAAAGAAGAGTTTGCAAATAAAAATAACCCTTACAATTGTTTAAGAAACAATTTTTACATCTTCTGTAAGCCCTGTTCAAAAGTCCCATCAAGTTCATTGGGTCATATTCCAAGGTAAATGTGTATAACAGGGAAGGGAAAACTCTCAGTCATAAGGCTATGAAATTTTCTATGCAGCACAACAGCTTCTTTCCTCAGCCCCAACCCCTCTGCCCTAGGGAAAAGCTCTTACCTCAAATCAGAGTTGTAGATCAGATTCTTTTCCTTGTAGGATAGCGCTGATGGGGCTAATCAATTCACTCTTGTTTATTTCTGAGTAACAGAACTTGCTTATTTGTGAATTAAGCATGCTGCTTCTACATACTTCTGAAAAGATGTGCTTCCTTCCTGTCATGCAGAGACTTACCCAACCTACTAGCTAATTAGTAATATATACCCAATTTTATGTTGTTTTTCACATTGGAAGCCTTCTTCACCTTACCAAAAGCCAAAATAAAAATTAATGCAGAACAGTCAGGCATAATTAGTCTTTGCCTGGTGGGATGTATGAAATAAAGAGGCTCTCTTTACACCAAAGAGAAAACAGCTAAGCTAGTAAGTCATACTATCTTACCTTATTTCGGTTCAGTGGAAATTTCAAAAAACGTAGTACCACACAACGCTGAAATGGAAAAGAAATGCAATAAATAAAACAGTTTTGTTATATGGGCAACTTAAGCTAGAGCAACTATCACAGCAAAAGTTAAGCATACAAAATAATCCACCTTCCTGTTAGGGAGGAAAAATACTTCCAGTCTATTCTCTATCTTCACTCTTTAGCTGCCAATTAGGATTAGGATTGATTTTCTGGGTCAGATCAACAGTCCATTTAACTTAGCATTTGATCTGCTTTCAGTAATAAAAAAACAGGGTGGACTTCATGAACCTAGGCTAAATTCAGAACGACAAAAAACCTCACATGGTGCACAGGCATTTGTCACATAGAACAGGGGTAGCCAAACTTGCTCAACAGAAGAGTCACATACTATAAAATATCTGAGAGCAGCAAGCAAGCACCCGTGGGTGGCAAGCCGCAAAATAAACTCAAAGAGCCGCATGTGGCTTGCAAGCCTGTTTGGCCACTCTGCTATAGACCAAGCCAAACAACAAAATGCTAGGGGTTTTAATGGCAAGTTTTATAACTGTGTTTAGACTGGTCTTGTTTTATTTGAGATAAATTTCCATGTTATTTATAAATTATTCTTTTTAACGCCACAATTTTAGCCACCTTAAACAAAATATCAGACATGCTTTTAAAACAATTTTTTTTGCAAGTTGACCCTTACTTGTTAGTGTAAAGCCCTATAAAAGCAATCAGCATCCTCCAATACTTAGACCAGATATATAGAAATTTCAGATAATGCTCACAGTTCTTCAAGTTGTATTTTAGAAACGATAAATATCCATTCTAGTCATTAGGGCAGGATGGTAACTATTTTTCTATAAAAGGCCACTAACCAACAGGAAAAATAATAGAGCCATCCATGGAACTAAACATAAGTAGTCACCCATTTCCCTCCATATTGGCAGGTGAATCTGCTTCCTGGATGAACCTGATTTTCAGAGCTGTTCTTGGAGTGGCTGAAGTGCCACTTGCAGCTAGATGCAAGAGAAAATTCAGCAAGCAAGCAACACACATGCGGAGAGTGAGAGAGCACTGTCATGCTAAGCAGCCAATCCACACACTGCAACACCTGAGCACTGCCAGCCCACCACCGTCTTTGGAGACAAGGGAGCGCCAGGAGCCCTCTGAATGAGGCAACCAGGAGCCACACTCCTAACACTTTTCCCATGGCTGCTAATCAAATGGAATGAGTTGCTACCAACAGCCAATGCCACAGGCCACGTAAAATTCAGCCCTGAGCCCAATTTGACCAGCAAGTTGCAGGCTCCCCAACACAACTTTAGAGAGCAATGCAAACAGTGTGTGTGTTTTTCTTTTACAGCATTCACCTGAAGAATTAGTAAATACAACCACATAATAAAAATTATGGCCTACACGAATTTTTTACAATTGATTTCACAGTTGTTTACAAGGGATTTTGGAGACTGAAATTAAAATTTTACCTGCCCCTTTCCTTCTACATTTCTACTGTTATCGCCTGTGCATATGCAATACTTCCCTGAAAGCTGCAGGAAGCAAAGATTTCCTCATTTTGTTTGCAGCATAGTTACAAGCAGCTAACATGGCACTGAGTCTGCCAGATCAACAACCAAAGCAAGATTTTTTTAAAAAGGCTAAAAGGTAAACAACTTAATGGCACTCTTCTGACATTCAAAAAATTTGGGATATTTAAACCATTTTTCTAACATTGTTCAGTGCTCATGTTGAACAGTGTAAGAAAAAATATGTAATAAGCTACTTCAGTAATGAGATTAAAATCCACTATGAGTACAACCCAATACCTTGTTTTCCTCTTAGAAGAAAGCCTCCATCTTGGACGCTTTCACATAATCAGAGCCCAGTCAGGTTGCTACAACCAGAATGGGAAGAGCAAGGGAAGTAATTTTTGATTCTTTGTCCTACTTTTAACTCCCAGCCTCCAAGATGGGCCTATGAGCCTTTCCAGGGAAGGCATGCTCTGGAAAGGGCTGGGACACAGCTGGAGAAACCATAGGATTTATTTTATTTTGGCCTTTCTTCTCAACTGTTCACCTCCTGAAATGCTCCTGTTTCCTTTCCTCCAAGGCCAAACTTATGATCCTGAGCAACAGACCATCTCCTTCCCAAGGTCACAATGGTGTATATTGCCTCACTCTCTAAGTGTTGCTGTTTTATACAATGAAAGGAGAGGGGTTTTTTTTAATAAAACCATGTGTGGCCCAAGTCTAGCTTAAAGTGTTTATTGTGTCACTAATAACCAATTTTTATTGTTCTTTTGTCTGAATTTGCTGGCTTTTGTTCAGACTAATTTGATGTTGGGAGTGGAATACAAAATACAACTCTCTGGATTTGGCTTTTCAAGAACTGTAAGACTAATTAAGTTTATGGTGTGGAAGAAAGGAGATACTGATTTACTGCTACCTGAATCTTCTACTGGATTTTGCATCTGGAAACAAATACACAACATGTTTGTCTAAGAAGAAGCACAAATTGAAGTTGAATTATTAACAGCTCTCAGATGTATGGTAGGCAATGAGCTTCCCTTCCATTTTTCCTAGTTGTGTGCAGGGAGGGAAGTAACATAGTTCGGCAATTATCCTTTTTCCCCTGATCTTGCTCCCTTGAGATTTTCAAAAATACTGTAAGTTTTGCAAATCTCTTAATTATTCCTACTGCAGCCTTCCTTAAAACAAGAAATAATAGTCTTACTTGGAAGCACAATGTATTGCCCAAGTACAATTATTCTTTCTTAAGAGGATGCAGAGACAATAAACACACGGAGGGAAGGCAAAGCTTTTATTGACGAATACCATACAGAACAAAGGAGCGATGCTTATGTCTCTGCTGCTGTCAGAAACCTTAACACTTTGTTAAGGTTTTGGTCCCTCCATGTATGTGTGAGTGCAGGTAGCAAACCAAGTTTTATCACAACTGAGTTCACATGGCTAATTTTACACATGACAAATCAGAATCCAACAATCTATACCGTGGGTTAGCTTTGTGTGCAAACCTAACAATTTACCTGGTTTGCATAGAACACTAATTCACAATTTATTTAACCCATGAATTGCTGCATTCTGGGCGGTCATGACCTGCACTAACCTGTCCCTACCTAGTACTAGTAAATGGACACCACCATTGTCAAGCTAGCTGGAAGTCATTTACTTTACAACATATTTTGGAATACTGTCATAGTTAATTAACTACACATACAAAAGTGAAATAATTTCTACCAAGTTTTAGTCCCAGGACAAGGTATATACATTTGCAGCCATTATTACCTAACTTTCACCTATTTGTATGACTCCAATATCATCTCAAACAGAGTCTATGGTCTCCTGAAACCGGGGTAGGAGTATCTAGTCCATATTCTGATTTGCTATTTCAGCCCAATCTGCCTTTCTGTCACTTCATCTCCCTGCTATTGCACCATCATACCTCCAATCACAAATGACTTTACTCTTTTTTTCACCCTCTGCATGATCTTCAGTGACTATTTTCAGCTTGGACAAATTGGTGAACAAAACCAGTGTTGTTACCCATTACCCTTTCCCAATGCAAAACATGGCATTTGTGAAAAAGTTATTTCATAATCAAGAGCTTTATACCACGGAAGGACTCCCTGGAGAAGAGCCTAATGCTGGGAATAATAGAATGAGAATGGCAGAGAATGAGGTGGCTAGATGGAGTCACTGAAGCAGTTGGCATGAGCTTAAGTGGACTCTGGGGGATGGTGGAGGTCAAGAAGGCCTGGAGGAATGTTGTCCATGGGGTCTCAATGGGTCGGACATGACATCGCGACTAACAACAACAACAAACATATCAAGTACTCTAACCCATATATAGAATTATGTGACAATTTGGTTCAAGAAAACAATTATACAGTTAACTACAATATCTTATTGAGATTTGTTTGTGTCAATTCAACTTTATATATGGATACAATGCTAATCCAATCAGAATAACTCAGAAATGTACCATTACACAAATCTGTACAACAGTTTCCCATTACATTACTAAATAGCACATCTCAATACTGTTTTCCACAACTAAACCATGCAACCTGAATTACATAGAAGTAGTAACTGACAAAGGCACAGAAAGTACTAAATTGAGTACTGGATATAGACTCTCCAGTTACAGGACTTTAATCCGAATTTGCTGCAGTGCTGCCAAGAGAACATACATATATTAATACCAAAAAGTTATTTCTCTCCCTAAGGAACCGTAACATTGATGTCACAGAAATAACTCAGAGCCAGGGTATCACTGGGTTTACTAAAACTGAAGTAAGTAGGCACAAAGGAAGCAGAGATATCACACACATTTGTTCCTGCTAAATTTCCAATATGCACAATTTAACTACTTTCTTGGCAACATGCAAGCCAGGTCATTGTCTTGTCTTTCAGAAAATCTGTCATAGCAGTATAGAAATGAAATGAAAAAAAAATTAAAATTGTCCCTATGATATAGTTGTAATAAATGGTAATTAGTAAAGATGCGTTTCAATACTGAAGTAAGAGTAAGGTTTCATTATATAAAATCCACTTTGAACTGTTTTTATCATATATAATTTCAAAAGGCAGATATAACACTTCTTCTAGTGAAACAGTCCAGCTTCAGAAAATCATCATACCAAACTGGAATATAACAATGCCCTTTGCAAGTCTTATTCTTTTGACATCCAGGCATGTCAGAGAAAGATACATTTGCTGGTCAACACTGAGCTATTTGTGCTTTACCACTAGCCAGGAAAAAAAAAAACAATTGTTCATTGTGTCTCTATTAACCATGCTGTGGAATAACTGTGCTGTAAAAGTTTGGCGAGCAGTTACTAAGAAAAGCTCCAAACATTCTGTTAACCAAGTAACCTATCTAAAGAGAAATGATCAATGACTGGGAATTAGCTGGTAGACTATGCATAACTGGAGTAAGGAGGCTGTACAACCCATATGCTATGCACCAATCAGCTACGCTGCTGAATGTCTTCCAACTTCAAATATCAGAATGTACCCAAG